CTCTCAATGTTGTCCACATCCCTCCTGAAGTGGGGCGCACAGAACTGGACGCAGTACTCCAGCTGTGGCCTGACCAGTGTTGCATAGAGGGGAGGATCACCTCCTTGGCCCTGCTTGAGATGCCCCTGTGGATGCACGACAAGGTGCGGTTAGCCCTGCCAACTGTGACCTCGCATTGTCGGCCCATATTCATCTTGGAGTCAATAATGACTCCAAGATTCCTTCCTGCCTTCGTGCTCTCAAGAAGGGAGTTTCCCATCTTATCAGCTGGCAAGCAGAGAAATGAAAAGTGTTGATGGCTTGTAGGGATAGTAGGGAATGGAAGCACAGTAAATGGCATGAAATTACTGCATCCCAGGTGAAGGAGGCCATTGAACTGCAAGATCAATAATAGAGCTGAGAAAAAGGGGAAGATATGGTCAGGACAGAAAGGAAAGCTGATGCTGAAAACTGCTTTTAGTTCAACTGAAGCATGGAGGTCGGGAGCCTTGATATCCTCTGTAATGTCTAATAGATGTGCCATACAATATGCAGTTATAGAATCATAGTGTTGAAGGAACTAAAAAATGCGAGTGCCACTTTAAAATCCTTTCAGATTTTTATTGCTACCGTATGGTACGCAGGTAACTGAAAAGCCGCCGATATTTCTCTTGCATCCTAACGCCCAAAAGGGGATGCGCTTCTACGTGATAGGCAAAGTGATTCAGACAGAGACGGCATGTTATGCAAATTAACGTGATGCGCCTTCAGATGAAGGGTTTTATGTAAATACAGCAGTGATGAGGTAACGGGCCCATTTTAATACTGGTATCGTTTATACAGTGTTGCCATTTAACACCTAATCTGCAAGTCCTACTGACTGTATCTCTAGAGTTTTATAAACAGACAAAAATATTCAGTTGCATGTTTCCTGCCAATTTTATCTTATTTGCAAACCAAACCGGTTTTGTATCAGTGGGCAGACTGCTAAATAGAAGGTGCTAATCAACCACAGGCTAAAAATAGACAGATAATAGAATACAACAGAAGTAGCTGGTATTTTGACATATGGAAAAAAAACATAACATACTTAGTCTTCTGATATTTAAGGCAGTCAACAGAAGGATTAGAATAAAGAAGGCATAATTGTCTGCAGGTGGAAAATGGGACTATGAAATTTTGCACCTAAAGGTTAGGAGAAAAGAACAGAAGGGAGGGGAGAAATAAAAAAATACAAAAAATTACATAGAGTGAAAATAAGACATGAGAAGAATTAATTGGGAGAAACCAGAAAAGAGGGATGTAAATTCACATTAATAGCCTGGGGGATTTTGTATTTGATAAGTGCCAGAGAGCAAAGTGGGTTTTTAAAAGGGGGGGGAGAGGGTTTGCTTGCTTGCTTTTTTTTAAGTCTCTAACATAGCTAATAAGAAAACTTGGGGAGGAGGGGGAGAGGAAACCAAAGTTTCTGCTGTGTCTCTCCTATTCAGTACTTCAGTTAGTCTTTTAGGTTTGTCTTCCTCTATTATCATCAGACTGAAGTGCAGCTTTTGTGTTGATGATATTCCTTTTAAATTAAGGTTGACACCTGTGCTCAGGATTTTGGTACTGGCCTTCTTTAATGGGCGCACTTTTAGACCTACGTATAATTGCACCCACATTTTTGCGCCTGCAGCGAATTGTGAACACTAATAGTACCAGGTGGACAGCCTTTCAGGAAGCCACTGAGGTTAGCCTGAAAACATGTCCCTGCCATACAAGTGAAAGAAGAGCCTGGGGATGTGCTGTACTTAGGCCAAAACATCATCCCCTTGTCTGGGAACATTTTGTGACAATCAGTGATGCAGGGCAGGTTATCTTTCCATCCTTCATCAATTCCCAATTATTTGGGTGTCGGCCATGGTGGTGACTGGGACCCCCATCACATCTCCTTCACATGAGGGCTAAGAGGTACTACTTTCTGTTGTAGAGAGGCTAAAGTGGTGCTGACAGAGGGGGGATTTCTCCAGCTGTGTCAGATGGTAAGAGTCACAATACTCCCTTTTTCTCCAGGCTCCTTCCCTGAAGTCCATCTCCAGTACTGGTTTGAGGGAAAACCTGATTGCCTTATGTTATTTGCCCTGGACACCTGCTTCTAATTTGCAACCATTTGTATATACCCCTTTACTTGCCTCCCTGGGCCCTGAAATTCTGTGGGAGAGGCCAGAAACAACTCTCCTACCCCAGGCAGTTAGGTGGTAAGGGAAAACATCCTTCCTAATTCCACATAAAAGGCCATGACTATCACTATTCATATCATAAAATCCATGTCTACTCTAATCCTGCAGGTGTGGTGATGGCAGTAGCTGGTCTTCAGAGAGGGAGAGAAAGGACAACCAGAGCACAATTAGTTATGAAAAGCTCCCCACCCCTAGTGCCAAGAGTTGAGTTGGCTGCCCTGCACCAGTTCATTCAGCTCCTGGCTGGGGATGCCCTTTCACCCATTGCCATAACCAGAAGGAGTTAGAGGGCAGATCTTAAAATGAGCCATAACCCATGTTCTTTTTGGTAGTAACAAAAAGTCCCTGCCTGGCAGCTATTCCGGTCTGGATTGTATAGAGTTGGTGTGCATGCTCTGAACATCAAGCATTTTCAAGTCTTTGGAGGAAAGATTCTGAGTAAATACAAAGCCTCTGTACTGTATTAGCATTATCATTCAAAATCATTCAAAATGGCAGTTAGGGACCTAGAAAAGCTAGACATTTTTGTTTGTGGGGCCGCAGCACTTTGAAGTCATGATAGTGCTTTGTCATAAAAGGCAAACTGTGTCAGACAAAGGGGGAAAGTTTGCATATGTACATTTTTTATTGAAGCCTCCAAGTCTTCAATTCCTGAACACTCTTGCCAGAATTCTACTAGTAGTTCATAGAGCTTTCCTGATGAAAACAGGGGTGACAAGACTACGAATTCTAGTGTAAAAAGGAGAGGGGAGGAAAAAAAATTGTGAAATTAAGAAACTTGTCAGGATCCTTTGCATTAAAAAGAAGTTAAGGTCAATGCAAGTACCCCTCACCACTTGTTTTTAATTTTTGCACATCACCCTTTCAACTTTGTAAGTAAACCTGCCATTAGAGAAGACAGCATCACTCTGCACGTGCCAGTTATTTGAGATTTCAGATATTTTAGGGACATAATGAAGGCAAAACCTCATCTAGTGCAGACTCGCAGGAGCTCCGCTGACATCCATGGAACAATGCTGATTTACACAAAATAAGGCTTTGACCCATTAGTTTAGGAGATCATCTCAAATTATTAGCACCTGTGCTCAACTTCAATTTCTAGGATCAGAGAATAAACAGTGTTTCAAATATAACCAATACCCCTAGAGCTTTTCCCTCTCACCGCTGTGGGATTTTTTCCCCCCAAGTGCCCAGCAAAAGAGAAACGATATCCCAGCTGAGATGAATTCATGCCACTTGGCTGAAGTTAGCAGAGCTTCATTCAGTGCAATTAAGGGTCAGAAAGCTTGAGTTCTTCTCCATGGTATTCTTCCTCCTGGTCTGGGTTGAGGCACCTCAGCAGGGCAGTATGGGGGGAGCTTGTGCTGCTGCTTCTGCTCTGTCATGGGGTAGCTAAAGAGTAGAGTTCAGTCTCTGAGACGCTCAGACTGGCACCTCTTATGAGTTCTCAGTTCCCATTACAAATGTTTAAAAGAGGTTGTAAAAAAAAAAAAAAAAAAAAGAAAGAGCTTACATTTAATACAAGCTGCTCTTCATATCCCCACTCTGCAGATATACTCAGAGATGTCCTTACTATGTTTTGTTTTCAAACAGGAAAAGTCAACAACAATGTACAATGGGATGAGGACTCCATAGAATACATGCCAGCCAACCCAGTCAGGATCGCATTTGTCTTGGTTGTTCATGGCAGAGCTTCCCGGCAGCTCCAACGCATGTTTAAGGCTATTTACCATAAAGACCATTTTTATTACATTCATGTTGACAAGGTAATATATCACTGGTTATAAATTGCCTGTCTTTCCATCTGTCAATCTACCCATCCTCGTCACCTTCTCCATCATCTCTCTTTATCTCTGCTGCATGCTGTAGTTTGTGCCGCGTTTTGTTTTTTTGACCTGTGATGTTTTGAGCCTGACTATTTTGTTATCATCCCGTCTGTGACTGCCTTCATTTTTTGTTGTGTGTCTGTGGTGTCGGTCCATGTGTGTCTGTGTCTCTGTTTCGTAGCAATAACTGATAAGTCGTGATAGGCTCTGATGTACATGTAAGGTGGCATCAGCGATCCTCAGACAGTATCACTGTGAGCTAGTAGATAAAGCACTGAAGTGGGAGACTTGGTTAAAGTTACCTTACCTCCCTGTATCTCACTTCCCCATCTGTTAAATGGAGGTAAGGAAATAAGGAAAGCCTTCTGATGAAAAGCACTAGACAAGAGCTAGGTGGCATTAGTAAAACTTGTAATAAAAAAAGTAAAGAAAAAAGGACTCTTGACACTCTCAACATAGCTTGCAGTGAATGAAGAGACAAGCTCATTAGCAAGGCTTGAGAGAAAGGTGCTAACAACTGCTTCATTTAGTCGGGAATGCAATTGCTAGATCAGTTGCTAAATCCCAGATCCCATTTAGAGTTACTTGTGTATTTAAAATAGTTTTACTTATCCTTACACTGACTTCAGCCTGCCTTCAGTTGGTTGGAACGGAGTTGATGTTCAGGAAGTTGAGCTGCTTAGTGAACATAAGGGAGGGACAGTTTGTCTTATAGACTGTTGAATGTGTTACTTTCTTCTCCTGTAAAGCGATCCAATTACTTATACCGACAAGTGCTCCAGTTTGCTAGCCAGTACCCGAATGTGAGAGTCACTTCTTGGCGAATGGCAACTATCTGGGGAGGAGCAAGTCTTCTGTCCACCTACCTACAGAGTATGAGGGATTTAGTGGAGATGAATGACTGGCCGTGGGATTTCTTCATTAACCTTAGTGCTGCCGACTACCCAATCAGGTATGGTGACCTCTTTTGAAATGTATATTTTTCCATTGCAGAGGAATTGGTTTTAAATGATACATAGGCCAAAGTTCCTATAACTGTGATGGCGGAGCAGAGTAATGTTGAACTGGGGAAACCAGTTTCTTCCAGTCCACAACAAGAAGCTTCTTCTAGTGAGTTGTTTGCACTGTAGTAACTCCCCATTTCATAAGGAAATCATCCAGAATTGTCCTAGGGAGGCAAAAGCAGGTGCATCCACACTGTCTGCACACTGAGGGCTTCCTGCAGCTAGGTAAATCAGATATGCTGCCTCTTGATCCCTCTCCTGAAGAAGCTGGGGCAACTGTGTTGAATTGTATCACTTCCAGAGCAATGTCTGGAATGGCCCCAAAGTGGGATGAGTAAAGTAGCAGTGAGTATTACAGCCCAGCGGGCAAACCTCAGGCTTGACAGAACTCTGATGAACAGTTTTGCTACAGCTTGACTTCAAGTTTGGAGAAATATTGAAGATACAAATATAGATTCCGTGAAAGAAATGTTCTCAGACTTCTTTTTTGGTGCTTTTTTCTGCAGAGAATAATGATAGCAGAAGTGACAAATAAGTTGCTAGGAGTCAATTATATCTTCAGCACCAGCCGCTGCCTGAATAACTTTATTCAGATGGCATCAGGCATAGAACTTCACGCATCACCACATGACAGGGCTTGTGATTTTAAGTGAAACTATATTCTCTCTGGATTTACATAACTTATGCCCTACAGCTGCATTCAGAGAGGTTTACTACATTGTGCAAAAGCAGATATGCCGTAGAAAACCCAAATGTCCTTAAATGGTTATTTTTAGCCTGGAAAATTGTCAAGAGGAGGAAGAGAGGAAATTCTCCTTTCAACTTTTACTCCATTTTGTGTTGAGAGGAAATAAAAAAGGGGATGTGGCTTTCTTGGGAAATGCTTCAGATGAATAATTATGACATGATGTGCTCTAAACGATAATGGAACAATTGGAATTGAAATTGGATTGGAGATACTATCACAGCCTTTCATCACCAGCATTTATATCACACTTTTCAGATTATAGGCTTGAAGTTGTTAGTCAATCAACAACTCTCACATATGTCAATAGAAGCTTTAATCTGGGGGAAAAACCCTGAAACTTGACTTCAGGATGTGGCCCTAATGGCATCTCTTACCTCTGAAATTCAGGCATGTTAGGAGACACGAGTACCAACCAGAAAGATTACTGGAAAGTATATAAACTTTGGAGATGACATCATGGTCTGAATGCAGGAAGTTGAATTAGGGACTCCTGGTTTTTAATGTTGAATCGGATTCAGCCTCAGCCTTTGGTCTTAGGAAAGTCGCTTAACACTTGTCTCTCTCCCTCCTCAGCTGTAAAGTGGAGATAATCATTTATTTTCTTCCCTTATTTGCTTGCAAGTAAAGATTTATTGTTAATTCTTATTAAAAAAACCCCACTGTTATGGCAAAGAATACCATACTGATGCTAAGAGTTATCTAATGGAAGACATGGTATACCAAAGGGGAGGATCAATGGTGAGAATTGTGGGCCAAAGATGCTAAAGCAAGTTGTTGGTTTCTAGGAACCTGCAAAGAAATGGGTGAAGAGAATTTGAATACTGAAGGCAGAGTATAACTAACCGGATCTTTTGAGCATAACCAGGCTACCTGTAGGACTGGAACCGAAGACTGTAAAATGTTCAAGTGCCCTTAATGCCCAGATTTGATGACAGTTTATAAGCATGACCATCTTTTTTTCCCCATTATACACCAAAGAGACTGGGGTCAACTCTGTATTTATAGATGTGTAATAATGCAACATAGTGCACTTTTTTTCAATAACAAAAGCCCTATGTAGCTGCCATTTGACTGAAGAAATTACAACCTCTTTTTTTTCTTCGTAGCAGTCTCAATTCTCTGAAATCACACTCCTCCTTTGCTGTACGTTTCAAAACCACAAGCTGACACTCTGTTGTAGGACACTGGTGTAAAGATCATACTTCCGCTGCCTTGCAACGTACTCTCCTCTCAGAAGTGTATGCACAAATTTCTCTCATCTAAGTGGCTGCACTTCAAAAAAACCCCAAAAATCAAAAAACCCCACAACACTTTAATGCTGTTACTTCCATGACAGTGAGATATAGGTACAATTAAAAATATTTAAATACATAATGTTACTACTATCAGTCTCATAAAATGGAATCCCATAAAAATATATATGCAAGTCAAATCCATTTTCACAGCAGCATTGCTATATTAATGTGCTTTGTGATGTTTAGGATGACATTGCCTTTCTGGGGATAACAGAAAGCTGAGTGTTACATCAGGAAATAGCAAGAATGGGGACTCATTTTCCCCCTCTTACATTTTTCTGTGATTTGCCAGATAATGTGCAAAAAGCAGTTTCCGCTTCTTATGCTGCTTAGACTTTAGCATAGGGTTTTTGTTAGGTTTCCCTGCATAAGAACATATGAATGTTGTAGATTAATAGTTTTTATCTAGAGTAGCTCCACATTAAGCTTTCACTTACCATCTGCCATCCCATCTGTGACACTGAAACCTCTACTTCTCTTCTGGTAGATACAGGCTAACACAACCTTGTGAGACAGAAAAACACGCTCCATGGAGCAGGGTCAGCACTTTTCTACACCTTCCTATGTGCTGAAGCTCAAATCTATCTACAGGGTATTCTGGTATGTTCACAGGTTATATTTTGGTTGCAAATCATCTAGAAAGGGGTAACAAAAATGATGTAGTAGTCTTGGAGGTTGTGGTAGCTGTGATGGTCCAGGAAATGTGCAAGAGACCAGGATTTTTTTTTTATTGTTTCTTTTTGTGAAATCTTTTATTACACCAACTGTATAATTGGGAGAGCTTCTGGACAAGCTTTTGGGGATCAAGTACCCATTCTTAGGAATTGTCCTTCCACTTGACCTGAGGAAGGGGACTTAATAACTAAAGGCTTGTCAAACAGCTTTCCCAACTATACAGATATCCAGTATAAGATTCCACAAAAATCCTCACCAAAAGCCATTGAGAAGCTTAAGAAGATGCCATATCAATGTAGAATGTAATGGGGACGTTCAAGGAATATTATGGAGGTACATAAAATAGTGCCTGAGGTAGAGAAGGTGAGTCAAATGCTCCTATTAACCTTTTCTCAGACAGTGATGCTTATGTTGTACACAAATAGGTACAGTGCCTAGCATGATGGAGTCCATGATGTGTTCCTCAATCCTACTGCATACAAATAAACACTCATAAGTACAGCTCGGCACGAGGAGCATTCAATCAAACTGAAAAGCAGCGTGCATTCCTTAGTTACTAGGTAATGGGCTCTTTGAGGCCTGTGAGGAATTAAAATGGTACGCTGTCCAGCTCTTGTCTGCACTGTCCAATGGCACATCTGGAATCCTAGTTAACATCCCGAGGACAAGTTTCAGGGATTACCTGACCTCAGCGTATTCCTGGAAGTGGTCCTTTCAGGTAAGGGTGCACAGGCGAGGGGAATCTGTTACTTCCTCTCATCCTGATAGTGATTTTGTGTAAGTAGAGAGGATGCGAGTCCTTATGGATATCAAGATGGCTCCTTTCACAAGCACTGCATTCACTAAAAAGAAAAATAAGTCAACATCCATATTCCAATATCTACTGCTAGCATCTTAACATGACTGTCGCTTTTGACAGAATTCCATGGGAAAACTCTTGATGCCTTTAACCTCTTATTTTACATGGATACTTATTTCCATTATTTATTGTCTCTGACAGTGTCAGGCAGTCAACCTTATGTTTAGGGACTGAAATTTCACTCCCAACAAGATGAACTACAGTTGAGTACCTAATGGTGTTGAATGTTTAATGTACATTGCAGGAGACCTTGGATAAAGTGACAGGTGAAGTGTTATAACCAGTTAAGTTAAGAAGTTTAGTGAGATTATTTAACAGTGAATGCCGTGTCTGTGCTTATCTGGGCACAATGCTGGTGCAAAGCATAAAAGTCAATGAACAGATAAATATTAATAATTCACAGTAAAATATAGTCTTAACCACCAAAGGAATTAGCTAAATCTAATTGCTTGATCTTGGTCATGAAGAAAGGTCAACTAATTATTCCTAGAAGGTTTTAGAGTGGTTAGAAGATAGAGTTGCTTACTGTCAGTTGTCTGGAGTGCAGGTTTCACTATTTTAGATTGTGAGCAGTCAAGGCCCCCCAAAAAATCTTTTAAAAAATTAGGTGTGTATGCTGCTGGTTGCATTTGGAGCTAGTAAACTCTGTTAATAATAAAGAAACTAAGCATCAATCTGTTCTTCAGTGTAGGAATATGTTGCTGTACCTTAAACATGAAGACCAGATCTCCATTTCTGTAGGTAATTAGGATATAGATAGATTTTGTTCTGGGACTTGGTTCAGTCTGATGCAGTAATTTCTGGAGGGGGCAAAAGGATGAAACCTTGCTCTGAATATTCGACGATGGATGGTCTGCTTCATGTGCTCTTTCATATATGTCTCTCGTTTCCATGTATGGTTCTGTTCACTTTCGTGTCAGTGGGTGAGGCCTGGCATTATCAAGCAATTCTGTTGAATAGGGAAATTTGAGAAGGTTGTTTAAATTACTGAGTATATTGGTCTATAGCAAATTTCATCCAAGGGTCAAACAGCACTTTGCTAGCATTAATGAATCTTCACAACATACCTTAAACTAACGCCCCGCTACACATTATGTATTCTATCCAATTAATTGGTTAATTGCACAATAAATTTAGACCAGTCACACATGCAAAATAAGACCAGCCCCACATGCAAAGTAATTATCACAGAATTAGCTGGTAAATTGTGCAATACATTTGGATGAGTTACACATGTAAAGTAATTATGACACCATAAATATGACTATCCAGTTATAAAAAGAGCCAACCAGATAGAAGGTTAGTGCTTGAAAATGTGTAACAACTCTCCAACTGGTTTCTATCCAGCTTTAATTTGAATGTGCGTCAGGC